AATTTCAAATACCTAAGAAGCAATATAGAAGGAAATGTAAAAGAATCAACTTGTGCCCTTCAAAGAAATGCCTAGGTCTAAGATAGCTCATAAAACCAGGCTTGCAGATAGAACGATAACTGATGGACAAACTAGAAAGATGTAAACTAAGGAAACTTTCCCATTTAACCTGAATTTAAGACTAAGATTAATTTAATTGTTTTTCTACCAGGTCTTTAGGATTTATATTTACTTTATTCAACTTTCTGGAAATTACATAGGTGCGAAGTCCATCCCTTCTGCACATAATATTTCCCTTACCACAGGGCACTGTCTATCCATACTGCAGATGGATAGGCCTGTCCATTCCTGTCGTCCTTCGTGTACCAGCTACAGACTAAAATACTATCCTTTCCTCTGATGACAGGTTCTCACGAATGCATCTCTATGGAAAGGAAGGTTCCCTTGGAATTTGATGTAAAGGAGATTAAAAAACTCTAGAGCCTTAATTTTCTTATTCTTCTGGAACCTGAGGGTCTAGAAAATGAATTCATCTATCTTCAAGGTATTCAGTGTTATTCCTTTTTTTTTTTTTTTTCTTGCTTCTGTTTTAGTTTTGTTTTGTTTTGATTTGATGTGTTTTGCTTTGTTTTGTTAAGTGTTGTTTTTATTAAGGTAAAACCACAGCGTGAGACCTGCCCTCTTAACAAAATTAAAATTATTCAATACCCTGTCATTCATTATAGACATAAAAGGCTTGCATTAAATAAACTCTGTTGCTAATTACAATTTATGTTGGTTGGGATGATATCTGATCCCCTTGTCACACAAGAGAGTTAAGGGGGCAGAGTACAGAGATAACTAATGCTTCTCTGGTGCCTGCCACGTGTCATGATCAATGCTATGTTTTAAAAATGTTATTGCATTTAATTGTTTAGGTGCCTATTCTATTTAATACCTGTGCTTTTTATTTCTTTTAATATTGACACCAACTTGGAATATTACTATACTGTATGTGCTTATAGAGGCTTTATACTATTCACTTTAATTTAAAAACAATTGAATTTTAGAGTCTTATTTACTTGTCAAATACTATAATTCTTTTAAAAGATATGAATACTAGAATCAGCAGTGATGTTGCCAGCAAACTGGATTAGGAGGACAATGTCCCCCCAGGTCTGTCCTCTAGGAATTGTTTTGCAAATCAGATTGGCAACCATCTGGCCAAATTCATACACAAATACAACTTCCTAGTATGAAGTCAAGGCATATTGGGAAAGTCTGGAGGGGAGGTATTTACCTCAGATCTCTAATCAAAATGTCAGTGTTTCCCAATTACTTAGTACTAGCTCTTCATGTACTGACATCCTTACGATGACTATCATTTCTATATGCACTGTATTTTTATATGAAGTACCTTTTTATGCTAGGAATGTAAAAGAAATAGCTATTAGGGCTGAAAAGATAGAGTGGAAAATTAAAATTTGGGAAGATCTTATTTACAGAATTAACTGCTTTTGATATTTAGAGTTACTCATTTTCATTATGCAGCTGTAAAGGACTCTGGTTTCACAGATCTATAATTATATATGAATAAAAATTATATATAAAAGAACACAGTTGAGTTTGTACTGTTTAGATTTTTGATGTTTCTCTACCTTCTATGTTCAGTAGTGTTTGATTTTATGCTATAAATTCATTTATTAGATGGCTTTCATTTCTGCAATTTTTAAAAACTTTTTGTTTTTCTTTTTTGTGGTATTAGAAATTGAATCCAGGGTCATGTACATGCTAGACAACCCCTCCATCACTTTGCTACATTCCCATCTCTCTATGCAATCTTTAAAATAATATCTTAAAGATATGAGCTAATTGGGGGTTAGCTAATTCTTTCTGTCTTGTTGAAGAAATTGGATATTTTAAATCTTTTTAAATAATGAATATTGCAGTGGTAAATATACTCTATGAGAATTAATATATTTCTAATTATTAATGTAAATGCTTTAAAGTGCACAAAAACGTGCACTTTGTAAAGCTTCTCATCACCTTTTGTCAGCTTGGTTTTATATACCCAAGGGATCTGAATTTGACTGTAACTGGAGACAAGAAAGGGCAGAATTTGAACATTACTGTATGATATGACACAGGAGTGAAGCCAGCTGGGCAAATGCTTCTGGTTCATCCCTGACTCCACCCAAGTTCATCACATAAAACCGCACCACTGTCCGTGGAGGTATTTGAGTCTTTGTTGTATTAGTATTTGTGCAGAGTAAGGACTTAAATTTCTTATGTATGGACAGAACATCATCTTTATGGCACAACTATTTGTACATGAAAAATAAATCCTACATGTTTTCTACGTTTCTATCTGATCTCCTGTTTAGACATTAGAGAATTTTGCATGGACATTTGCTTAGAAATGTTCTTTTATCCAACTACACTTGTTCTCATTGCTTTACATGTCACCCACATACATAGGGCAGCTGTAATTACCAGTATGATCCAAATATAGGTTGAATGTTTTAATTTAACAAAAATTACAGTAAAAGAAACCTTGCCATTTATCCTAAGAGAAATACTCCTTTCACTTCAAATTCAGGTATCCCATTGTTCTTGCCATTTCTGAAGCATGTCTGGAAGTCTTTTTCCTATCTTTACAAAGTTTGATTAAAAATACAGTGAATGCTGCTGCCAAATGCCATCCAGCCAAAAGGTAAGCTCGTAAAAGAACACTTACAGTGTGTCCTCATCTACCGTATTCACTGAATCTGACACTGTGAAATTTCTGGCTGATCCCTACAGTCAAAATGACCATGAAAGGTCAATGCTTTGCATGTATTTGGGACACTCAGGCAGCCGATATCGTACAACTAAAGACACTCGTCACAGAGGGCTTCCAGAAGCTCTTCAGAAATGGGCATGAATGATGGGATGCATGAAGCGAGGGGGAGAATTTTCAGGAGTGTTAATGACAAAGTGTCTTTTACTGTAACAATTTTTTGAAAAATCAACATTCACCGTATTTTTTTTTATCATACCTGGCATCTCCCCCCGCCCCCGCTCCATCCTTCTCTGGAGACCCAACTGCCTAGTTTTGGTCCACGTATGTGGATTTAATTAACACTCCAGGATTGATGCATTATTGATAACTATTTCAACAATGTTTTTCCTGTTCCTCCCAGCTACCCACCTAAGATCATATGTGAATTTTTGAGGTTTTTACTTTTGCCCCCATTTTACATTAGAGAAAGCTGGGAAAACACTGGATACAGAAATGACAAATTTTATATACAAAGAAAGTGCCAACATCCAAGATTTCAACCTAGCCATGCTCATTCTAGAGTCGCTCCACTTCACTACTTTTATTCACATTTTATGCCCTTTCTTAGAAAAGAAACTTCTTGAGGGACAATTCTTCCCTGAGCCATCTGTATAACAACATAATTATGTGAATAAAAGAAGAGAAGAATGAATGTCCGGGACACCCTCCCCCACCAGTACTCTACAAGGCTCTCAAGGCAGACTTTAAAAAGTTAGTGCGAGGAAGATCGTGTTTATAAGCTATCAGTAAACACTACTGTAGATCAGCTCTTATCCATTTCCTTCTTGCCTTCCTTTCTACTAAACCTATAAAACATTAAACAAAAATGTAATCAGCAGCAATCATTGGATAGCAATTAATTTGGATGTGGATTGGCAGAACTCAGGCCTTTATTTGATATCTGTAAACATCTCCTCTGTGATACATTTATTTTTTAAAGCAATAGTGCTAGAGACATTTCTCTATCATTCTTCTTTTTTAAGAATCATAACATCATGTACCTCCTGTCTTTCTGGGTATCTTTCAATTCTGGCTTCGGCTAAGATCTCTTCCATGTACAGGTTCTTTCTCATTTGTTTTCTCTTTGCCTTGAATTAGCTTCTCACTCCTACTCATAGGATCAATATCTAGTCAAACCATTATTGGCTTTCTTAATTACTAACTCTAGGTCTCTGTTTCTTGATGGATTTTAGTTGAGGTCTTCTCTGGCTATGTATGTAAAATTTTAATGCAATATCACTGCTTCCCCAGTCTACATTTCATATGTCCCTTCCTGGCTATAGTGTTTTTAGCTTTATGATTATTCTCCACTAGGATATATATATATATATATATATATATATATATATATATATATACACACACACATATATATGTATATATATTTATATATAATTTAAATATATATATATTTTCTTATTGTTTGCAATTTGCTTTCTTCAGTACAATGTAAACAACATGAGAGCAAAGCTTTCTCTCTCTGTTTTTTACTATTGTGTCCTTATGGATTCAAAAGCTGCTGGAATATGAGTTGCACTTAACAAATAGCTGTGACATTAAACCTCTAATATATTTTTCACTCAGTGATTCAACAAATGATCATGAAGCACCTCTTACATGAGGGGCACTGTGCTACTTTCCAGGAATATAATAGAGAATAAAACCAACAATATCGCTCCACATAGCCGTTTATGTTTATGTGTGAAAAACAGCTAGGTAAGTGGGCATTTGCATTATAAAGCATTGAGAAAGGAAGGAAGGTTAGAGTGCACACAACAGACTGTGGTGGCACAATACAGAATATCTGTTAGAGCCTGTGAGGGTTTGAAACCCTAAAAACTGAAACTTCAAATTAGTGATGGATTTAATAATGTGGATTGCTAGAGCAGGTCCTAATAGCCAGGGACGCATAGAATTTTCCCTGTCAAGAATAAATATTTTAGGTTTGTGAGTCCTATACAGTCCTGTCACAATTGCCTAATTCTGCCTTTGGACACAAAGCAGTGATAGATGCATAAACTAATTGGTGTAGCATTTAATAGCATTTCTATTGTAAAGATCATTGGTGACTGCATCCATCAGGGTTTACTAGAGAAACAGACATAACACAAGATATACAAATACACAAGAAATGACAAGTTTGGCTTACTATGGTCAGCCACAGAGTTGGATGAGGAAGCGTGCAGAGGGTGTCTGCACGCTGGAGATTGAAGAGCCCAGTTTCAGGCCTGAAGCTCACTCCAGTGTCTGTGCAAATCCGTATCAGGAGGCTGATGGGTCTGTGACAGAATGCTGAAGAATCTACAACAAAGACCAGACAATCTATATCAGAAGGCTGAATTGTCCCAGGAGGAAGCTGAACAGTCTGCACCAGAAGCCGGGAGATGGGAGATGACCAAGCTGAAGGTGAAGGCTAGAGCTCCTCTGAAGAAACAGCAGGCAGTCCTTTCTCAATTCCCTTCTTTTATGCAACCTACCCTCAGGGGGAGGGTGGCCCTCTACACCCACACCCTCTGCATGCCTTCCTCTTGCACCGGCTTAGGATGAATACAAAGTAAGCCCTGGCGCCCTGGTGAGTCAGGTAGTTAACCTTCTAAACTTCTCAAATTGACACAATGAACAGCATCCCAGAAGGGTAAGGGCATGTCCTTTTCACCTCAAGATGCAGAACTGCTGAGTTACTTAGCCAAACCTCTAGACTCCAATGTATCAACCATAACAGTGATACTAACTGGAGTTTGCTAACTCCTAAATGTATTTTATAGATTTCAGTCCTTTTTAAGTCATAGACCTGTTCAAACAAATTTAATATTAGCTACAAATACTTAATGATACCAAATAAGAATGGCATTGGTTGAATGTTGGGTATGAGTTTAGAGGTCTCTCACCACCCTGGACAGGTAAATAGAAAAATAAATAAATAAAAGTAAGCTCCTACTTTCCAGCCTAAGAATTTCCACTTCTTCCTCGTCTTGCTTGGATTCCATCCTCTTCGTGTTTTAGATCCACAGTTGAGGCCAGTGAGGGAATGTCTTCTGGTTTTGACACACTTCTGTGGAAAGTTAGGGCAGCAGTAGTCAGAAGCAATTAGTGTAAATTTTTTTTTGTTTTTGTTTTTTTTGTTTTTTTTGGTTTTTCTCCGGTACTGGGAACCGAACTCACGACCTTGCGCTTGCCAGGCAGGCGCTTTGCTGCTGAGCTAAATCCCCAGCCCCCAATTAGTGTAAATTTAATAACCACTGCAAATGTCAAACTTTGTGAATGTGATGTTCAAACACTAACCTAGCCTATTACATCCACGATATTCTCAAAGATACTACTATAGACAGACTTGTTCCCTGCAAATGTTAATGCTGAACCCTTACCAACCAATACAACTATTCTTGCAGATAGGGTCTTCCTGTAGATAATTATGTTTAAATGAGCTCAAAAAAGTATCTTTCTGATCCTATAGGATTAATACCTGTATACAGAGGAGAACAGATACCTGTTTGTGTGTGTGTGTGTCTGTCTGTCTGTCTGTCTGTCAGTCCTTTTAGCTATTTCTGTCTTCCCCTTTCTCACAAATACCACAGGAAACTAAATGAGGACACAAGAGAAAGCAACCATCTATAAGTGAAGAAGACAGATCCTACAAGAATTCAAACCTTGTGGTATCCTGATCATGGGCCTCCAGCCTCTTCTTCAGTGAGAAAATAAATTTCTGTTGCATGAGGTTATGATGGTTTCCTATAGCAGTCAGAGCAGACTCAGACAAACATTTCCCAAAGGAAAGCTGAACCAGAGCTCTCTGTCCTAGTTTAATACTTTAATATCAATGTTAATCTTTGACATTTCATAAATCTGTTTACCCAGATGTTTCTTGGAGCCCACAGCTTCTATTCAAGGCCAAGTTTACTGTTTTTATTTTCTTGCTGAGTCATTACCTTAAGACTAATGATTTCTGACTACCTACTGCTGTCCTGGAGTTTTAGAGGAGCTAGTGAACCCAACGTGTAAAAGCCAGTAGATGTTCCCTCAGTTGTTCTGACATGGTAGGATATATTCCTAATCAATGAAGTCACCCTTAAAGCACAACCTTTCCAATGTGTTTTTTTTTTTTTTTCTGGCTCCATGCTGTTGTTTGAGGAAGGTGACACAATGAACAAGAAAGGCCTATGTGTGACTATTGACTCTGGCTGAGAAACTGGCAGAGTTCAAAACTACAAAGGTGAAAGTAGCAAAAAAACTTAGTAAGAGTTCAGGAGTTACACAAAGGCTGTTGTGCAAAATTACTTGGCACTCTAGTATAGAAAATAAAATTCAAACCCAGAGTTCTGTCTTTACTTCCAATCTTCAAAGATGTTAGCTGTTGGAGAATCATTGCCTTAACCAATGTGGAATAAAGACAGTAGGGTGACATTTGAAAGGAGTAGCTGTGACCTAACCTGATTTGTCCCCAGACTCATGAGGGAGTCAAAATTGAAGGTGGCTGTGAGCACCCTGTGCCAAGTGAGTGAGTGCTCCAGGAGTTGCTGGTCCCCTGGTTCGACTCCATGCATTACTCACACCACCATTGTTCCCAGCTGAAACTCACAGAGAGAGCCAGGTATTTCCCATCTACTTCCTGAGGGCAGAGTGGGCAACCCAGGACCCCTACGCCATTACAGTCTGAGTTTCTGCCCTCCGTGCACCTGTGGAAGACAGGAAGTCCTGGCTCAGAAGCCCCAGGGACTGCTCTCACTGGGGTTCATGTGTGGGTCCTGCCTGTGAGCACCCTGTGCTGAAAGTGTGAGTGCTTCAAGAGCTGCTGGTCCAGCGGCTCAAGTCCATTTTACTATACTTGTGCCTGGACACCCTGGGGGGTCGCAGGTATGGGCAGTTTGGGATTGTTGCATCTGGTTCCTGTATGTGTCCTGAACTGAATGGAAACACAGAATCAGGTGGTTCACAAACTGTCGACCCTGCAGTTTGTGTCTGGGTTTTGCCTATACCCTGAACTGCCTGGGGACATAGGTCCACTGGACCGGGACTGTCACACCAGTGCAACACAAGTCTGGGCCGTATACATGCCCTGAACTGCAAGGGGACGCTGGATCAGATGATGTGCCATCAGCTGACACCAATGCCTGCGTCTGAGACCTAGGGTAACTATATACAAATCAACAACTGCTAGAAAACCTGAGACTAAGTAGTGCTTCTCAGGGGTCACTGAGGGGCAAATCTGACCAACAGGAAAACTAGGGACACTAGTGGCCTTTGCTGTGCACCCACCAAAGGGGGAAACTGAGCTTTCTGCATTCCGTAGCAAACATGACAAAACGAAGGACTAAAACACTATCGCAGAACTCCACCCCACTCAGAACAAGTCCAGGAGACATCAACATAGGAGAACTGGTAAACACATGCCTGAAGTAGATGAAGTGATTGAAATGGAAGTAAAGAAACAACTCCATAAGGCCATAGAAGAGATGAGATCAGAAATAATCTCTCAGGCAAAAAGTGAAATGACAACAATAATGAAAGAACTGCTCAAAAGTCTGAAGAAGAAACATATAAGAAAATAGAAGAACAAAGGCAATGGACAGAAGCGTTAAATGAAAAATATAGAAAGGACTTCAAACACATGATCCAGATTCAAAGAGACTTCCAGGAAAACAAAGCTGCCACTGAAAGCTGCCAAAACCACTTAAATGAAGCTGAAGATAGAACTCAGACTTTGAAGACAGCATGGCAGCTAGCGACCATGAAAGAAAGGATCACGTAAAATCAACAAGGATCCAGGAAAAATCAATTCAACAGCTGCAAGATGAGGCAAAGGGGAACAATGTAAGACTTATATTAGTCAATAAAGCAGCTGGAGGCAAGACAACTGACATAAAAAGAATATTTGCAGAAATAATAGCAGAAAATTTCCCAAGCATGGAAACAGAACCTGATATGCAGTAAATGAGGCATATAGACCTCCAAACAACCACAACCAAAATAAAACTACACCAGACATATAATAGTCAAGTTCCCTGATCTCCAGCAAGAGAACAGAATATTAAAAGCTGCTAGAGAAAAGAAACAGATTACCTATAACAGAAAGCCCATCAGAATCACGCCAGACTTCTCAGCACAAACCATCCAATCGAGAAGAGCTTGGAGCAAAGTATTACAAGTCCTGAGACAGAATAGCTTCCAACCAAGACTGATGTAACCTGCCAAACTATCCCTCAAATTCAAAGGAGAAATAAAATATTTTCACTACAAAGAACAGTTGAAATGTAATGTAACAGGATTACAAAGGGTACTAAAAGAGATTCTAGATGTAGAAAAATCTGATCACAATTTCAAGAACAGTAGAAATGAAATGTAAACAAGTGCAAGCAAGTAAACACATAGAAGTAGGACACCAACACAAGTAAATAGCATGCCAATGATAAATCAACACATATCAGTTATAACTATGAATGTGAATGGCCTCAATTCTCCAGTCAAAAGAAACAGACTGGCAAAATGGATTAAAAAACAAAATCCAATGATATGCTGTAGACAGGAAACACATTTTACTCAAAAGGAAATCCACAGGCTAAAAGTCAAAGGGTGGAAAACAATCCTTCATGCAACAGGAACCCAGAAAAAAGCAGGTGTAGCTATTCTGTTTGCAGACAGTGTAAACTTCAGACAAACAGCAATCAAAAGAAACAAAGAAAGTCACTACATACTAGTCAGGGGAAAACTGCAAGAGGATGAGATAACAATCATAAACATATATGCACCCAATATCAGAGCTTCAAATTATATAAGACAAATGTTAACAGGCATGAAAACCCATATAATTAATAACACTCTTTTAACAGGGTACCTCAATAGCCCATTCACGCGAAGAGATAGGTCAACTGGACAAAAACTTAGCAAGGAAATAATAGACCTGAACCAAAGCTGTGAACAAATGGACTTAGTAGGTGTATATAGAGTATTCCATCCCAAAACATAAGAATACACGTTTTTCTCAGCAGCACATGGGTCTTTCTCTAAAATGGACCACATCCTAGCCCATAGAGCATACCTTCCAAAAAGCAAAAGAATTGAAATTATCCTGTGCGTGTTATGTGACCACAGAGCAATTAAATTGGAAATTAACGACAAAAGGAACTCCAAAAACTCCACAAACATTTGGAAATTAAACAACAACCTCCTAACTAGGTCTAGAGGTCCCATTCAACTCAGCTATTCCCCTTTTGGGTATTTTCCCAGAAGATCTATAATCATTGTATCACAGCAATATATGTGCACATACGTTCACAGCAGCAAAATTTGTTATTGTTAAATTGTGGAAGCAACCCAAATGTCCATCCACTGAGGACTGGATAACAAAATTGTGGTAGTTTTATACAATGGAATACTATTCAGCTAAAGAAAGATGGAATACTATTCAGCTTAAAGAAAGATAAACTCGAGGCGTTTATAGGTAAATGGTCACGACTAAAGACCATACATACGTGAAATAAGTCAGACATGCATGTGCAAGCACCACATAGTTTCACTAGTGTAAAATGTGAAAGAGTTAATTAAAACTACAAGGTATGATAGACATTGTGAAATGATAGGAAAACACTCAAGGGTAAAGGGCAATTGGGATGTGGGGAAAGAGAAGGGAAAGAAGGAGAAATTTTGTATGTATGCATATACAGGAGAGTTCACATGAGAACAACTCACATGAGAGTTGTTCTACTGTCTTCTAGTTCTTTGTTGAAAGAAACTGTTAATAAGTCCTTCATTGATCAATATTGCATGTCTCTATGTGTTTTCATGAGAAACCACTTTGAAGATATCAATATGTAATACAACAGGCATTGTTAATTTCCTACAACATTTTGTAAATCTGTATTTTCTGTACTGTTCTTTTGCTATTTTGTAAAAGGTTGTCTGTCTGGTAATGTTTTCCCCTTTTTATTTCTACAATAAAAAAAAATTGAAGGTGACACAGAAGGGCTGGAAATAAGGTAATAGCATGTAATGTTTATCAAAATGATGAGAAACTACATGCCCAAGAGAGATATTTCCTTTGCATGAAACAGTCCCTTT